CGGTTGAAATAAATGCAGTAGAAAGGACTTTTACGATCAATACTTTATATAATGAAATGTCTTTCGATGAATTATAATTCACAACAGTCAGTGTAATTTAAAATTAAATTATTTCGCAGTCTATTTCACATTGTTTTTCATAGATCATTACATTATTAAATCGTACAATCATTACGTGTCTTTATCGTCGAATATTATAAATATATAAATCTACATATATATTATCGTGTAGTTTAATGAGCTTCTCGCTCACTTTTCGGATGCCGATCTTAAAATTACATTTATTACTTATCGCGGCGCGAAATTTCCTAATTTATTACAATGCGTGAATCTTCGTTAAATGGGTGATGAAATAAATAAAACTCGACATCGCACGTATAAAGTGAATCACATGTGAATTCTAATAAATTTTAATGATTGCGACGTGGTAGATTAACAAATAATTGTCATTTAAAGTCGTTTTTCAAAATAAAAATCTTCTGTGCAGTTCTTAAGTTTTATGTTTCGAAGCTTTCTTTATATTTAAAAGACCAGAAAATATGGAATGTAGAGAACTTGCCATCTGAAATGTTTAAATGAAGAATTCAATTAAGGCATCAATATTAAAATTAGAAAAAAATTATTTTCTTAAAAATATTACCTTTATTGGAAACTTTTTTGTAATCTTAAAGTAATTTCTGAAAGACAGACACAGGGATTCTTTACCGAATCTTTTCATAAAATTCAAAATCTGAAAAGTTATTACTATTTATTATTGTATTATAATTACACGAAAACCGAATATACGATTTACTAGATAAAGATATGTTTTAATATATCAAACCTTTAATTTCTGTTCCAATTCGAGATGGCAGTCAGCAAATCTTCTGATGTCTTGAAAAGACGTTTGCATCTGAAAAAAAAGAAATATATATATATATAACGAATTTTAAAAAATCTGCAAATGTAGTAAATCTTGGAAATTCGACAAAAATACATTACAGCAGATGTGAAGGCGGATAACAAGAATCCCATTAAAATACACGCTAAAGTGAGAGTTACACACAGTAACGAAAAGAAAATTTTCAACGCGAACTTTCCTTCAGAAAAGTTGAAATTAAAGTACATTAGATTGGTTTCCATTAATAAAATACCGTACATTATTATGAATACGTAATTGAAGGGTCCGTTGATTTGATCGGTAAAATTCCAAAGTTCATCGTGTTGCGCTATAATTTCATTCAGTCGAGATTTCAAATTTGGAATGTTCTTTCTCAGCAGATACAAATTCTCTGATACTTTTTCGAATGCCTTCATTACAATAAAGTGAAACAGAACGAGGAACGTAAAGATGTATGCTAAAGCACCAACGAGTAAAGTGCTACAGACACCAATTTCGATGCAGCAGATAAACGGTTCATATTTAAAGGTCTTTCCTTTCTCTAAAGCAGGATAAAATAAAAAAGCGATCATACTATGAACGAATATAGTAAAATTAACAGTTAGAATTATTGCGAAAAGTTGTAGAGTGTTGACAGTAGCATATAACTGACGTTTAGGAAAACGAAATGACTTTTTTAATTGTATTTTCGGATTCAGTTTGACTCTTTTTACAATACTGAATATTGCAGCCACAGCCAAACTAATGCTTGTAGTAGTTACTCTGATATATATGTCATACTCGAATACCGAGAACGAGGAAAAGCAAGGAGTTACATTTGATACGTAAGGAAGTGTCATACATATAAGAAGAACGGAATGTATCCAATGAAGGCATTCAATAAATGAGATGTAAAAGTTGAAAGCTGTGCGAAAGCGACCGTCAGTGTTTAAGTTACAGTAGCAAGGAGTAAAAAATTCCAAGCCGTAGACGATCGAAATTGAAGTAAATGAAGAGAGAAAACACTGCAGACATATTTCATCCTTCTGGTTATCAACCGCGGGACTTACGCTCGAAATGATTCTTATCATATTTTTAAGTAAGTGTATTAAGCGGTATTAACCGTATGAAAAATAAAATTTATCATTTAATTAAGGATAATTAATCATTGGTATTAATGTCTTACGTAAAAGTAATTAAAATACTGATGTGTGAATTTTCCACTATTATTAGCAACTTGTTATTTTTTTAATTCCACTAATGTTGTTAATCATATGACAGAGGTCAACATGTTTTAGTTTTCGTTGTAAACAGTTTCAGAAGTTGAAATCAAAATTATCATACACTGTAATTATAATAAAAACTCTAGTTATATTCTGCAAAGAAAAACACACAGTCCGAAAAATATTATCAACATAATGAGAATGATAAGGATAAGATTGATCCGAGAGCAGTACAAATACACAATCATATGCACGAGAGTTAAGAAGACAATCGACCTACTAGACCTGGCTCGTGCTTAAATTAAGGAAATAATAGTATATTAAGAGTTATTTACTTTACATAACGGTTTAAAGTTTGATTTTTTTATAATAATTAAACAAAATCTGGAAAATAGTTAGATTCGAGATAAAACAATGTAGATTTAGATGAATAAAATAGATTTTAATTTCCTGCCCAAAACGTAGTACAGATTTTAGTGTTTATACTAACATGGCAGTCGATACCTGTCAAAAGCACCTGTCAAGAGTACCTGTCGAAAGCACAAATATCACTGCATGTAACAACACAGCCACTATATGTAGAATATTCTAAACATTCGGATAAGCGTTTTCGTAGATGTGGACCTCAACGATAAAGTTTACATCGACACCACGATTCTACGGAATATCGTACAAATAACCATCACATAAACGTAATAATTATTAAAGTTAAAAAGTAAAAGTTTGACAAGTTTCAGAGAGTATCGTCGAAATTCCCTGCGTACATGCAGAGCCTAAAAGCATGAAATACACCTTCTATTTTATAACAGAACTTTCACATAAAAATGTCTTAATACAGTTCCTTAAGAAGTGTCATTAGTGCAAGAAAGCCCGTCAATTGGTAGAGACTACATAAAAGAATTAATAGTCATTAGTAATGATGTTTACGTGTCGTTAGCCATTTCAACTGGTATGCAGACTAAATGCAAGCTCTCAAATACCATTTTTCTATACATTAATTTATATAAGTATTGACTAAGTGAGAGTTGTTGTGTGTTCTAAAAATAAATCAATCGATACTTATATAAATGAATACACAGCAATTTTTGGAGTTAAAACTTTTTGTAGAACTGGTTCAGACACATTACTGTAATTCCAAAAATGTTTCATAAAAATTGAAATTCAGTGTATAGTCTTGGAGTAAAAACACTATTTGCACAGGTTAAGACTAAATTACGACATGAACTTCAAAAAATAATATTTATGAATTCAAGCAATTGAATATTTACATCTCACCTGCTTAAAAAGAATTCTTTGCCATTTATTTTTTTTTATACGGATTGTTTTTCGGAAGAGAAGTCGAAACCCCCCGAATTACGTGTTACGGGCATTGCTAAGAAGTTGGGAAAGGATTGGAAATATCTTAAGAAAGGTGCCAACGAGAAAAGAACGAGTTGGCACATTTAAAATCAAAGCGAACAACGCGTAAAAGAAAAAGAATGGACGAGGAACATGAAGCATCGTTGAAACCAGGGCCCGTATTCTGATCACTTAACTCTCTACTCTTCTATCACCGACGAATGACGTCAAAGAGAGAGACGAAATTCGTCTCTCATTCACAGTGGCGATTTCGGTCGTTCGTAACGATCTGGTCTTTGTCGTTGACGTCACGATTCTATTCGATTGATTATACATGTTCGGGTTATCTGCGCGCTCAATACGGTATAGAATTTTAACCAATGAAATTGGTTAAAATAAAATTTTCAAAAATGCGAAGTACGTAATCGTAGAAAACGTGGCAAGAAAAACACGTGTTCGAATAAAGCAATTTCGACGATGCTTTTTTTATAATGTTTTTAGATTGTACTTTTAATTTATCTCTTAACAAATAAAAATTTTAATAACCTAAGTTAGATATTTTACGAAATATTACCATCTAATTTCTCCTTAACTATCTAAGTAAGATTAACGTCGTATTCGATAGTTCAGTAATTGATATAGAATAATTAAAAGAAACAAAAAAATTGAAATCAGTGACGTTTCCGAGTAGACACTGGAAGAAAATCGGAAGCATTTTCTCTTCCGAAATATTCTTTCCCGAGTAGAAAACGTTCTCTAATTCGATTGCACAGCGCGAGTTGCATCCAGTCGTCCATATTGGATATAACGAAATCCAGGCGAAAGACAACTACCCGCTCGTCTCTGATAAACGAGAGAAGCGAAGAGAGAAAAAGTTATCCAGAATCGCGGTTAGGGAGCGACTATGCAGACGCGAACGAGCGAGAATATATAGCGAGAAGAGGCGAGACGCGATAAATATCAAAACCTGTCAGATATGTGCGAGAACCAGAAATTCGCTCTCGCCAGCGTTATTTCTCGCTTCTCGTTTGTGCATGGTTTTCCTTTGCGAAAACTAAATCGCTCGCAACCTCTCGCTCGCTCTAAATTCGCGTCTGCCATAGTCGCACCCTTAGAGAAACGCGATGATCTATCGAGATGTAAACTAATGATTAGCCAATCAGCGACGATAGACGAGAGACGATGACCATAATACGGCCTCAAATTACAAAGTAAAAAGAAAACGAAATTAGTCGAAGTAGACGAAATTCTATCGAGTCAATGCATGGCTGCGCGGTTATTGTTCTTTGTTCCGGTTAAATCTCGGTCTCCTATTTAATTTTAGGCAAGAATTGCTTATTTATGCAATCAAAATTAACAATTTTCCTTATACAATAAAGAGTAATTAAATTAAAATTAACTCGTGGCTAGATTTTTTTTAAATAATAATTTATCGAAGAAATTTACTTCCCGTAGAAATATAGATTTGAAAATCCTATATTTGCAATCATATCATGCTATTTTTCATGAGAATTTCACGAAATTTTCATGAAAATTTTTAACGTTTAAAGATTAAAATTGTCTTCGTACAAAAGTCACAAACTCAAGCTATTTATTTATTAATTAATATTCACTACAAGAATTTTCAATGCTAACTTACGCATAAACGAAATTAAATTTGAATAATTAAAGTAATCTGAAAAATAGAAACAAAAATTTTAAATGAAAAAAAGCATTTATGATTTTTAAGAAATGTTAATTATGGATCATTATCATCATCCAGATCATCGCTAATGCTCGAATGCGACCCTATAAATCCGCATTCGGTGTCGGAATCACCATAATCGTCATTAATTTCTTCAGTATAATAAAGTATAGCTTTGGGTATAATTCTACCCTTAATATATTCGCCAATCTCGTAATCAAATAAAAGCAATTGCTTCTCGTCATCGCGTTGATTTTCATTTAATTCGGGTAGATCTTTAAAGAAATTAAAAAATGATTCCGTCGCTACACTTCTATAGCAATCAGCTTCTGATGAACCTTCGTTTCCTCTAAATACTTTCAACGTAATATCCTTCCCTTCCTTCCAATCTATGAAGCATCCTTTACTCTTAACGTAACTGGGACCTTCGTAGCAATACGGATTTTTCGGATCAAAATCGCACGTTACTGAATATTCTTTAGTTAGAACGGCGTTATTGAAGTATTCGTTCGGTTCAAAATGGAATTCCAAGACATAATCTCTTGAGGATTCGGAGATGTGATTCAGCTTGATGTCTTTCAGATGCTTGAGAATCGGTTCATCTCGAAGGCTGATCATTCTTCTTAAGCTCGAATTTGTTAATACAACTAACCAGAAATATGGAACACCTTTAATAGATTTATGTCCGCACATTTCGCACGGTGCAATCTCAATTTCTTCTTTATCCCGAACTGTTTTTTCTGTGTCGTAGGTGCGACTTTCTCCTTCTTCCGATACTTCTACAATTCCATTAATGATCTCTTGCCTCTTCTTAAATATCGGAGCAAACAATCGAGCGTATTTAACTTCTAAGTTATGAATTTCGTTATAATAATTCATTTCTTCTTGGATATATTCCAGTTGTAATTTACGAAGATGCTGGATCCGTTTCTGTACTTGAGGATGATATTTCGGGATGAAAGAAATTAAATCTTCCTCTTTAAAACACTTACATATATCATCATCTATCTTTGTTAAATCGCCAATTTCCTCTTTATCCATCATTCAAATACTTTAAAAAAATTTTTCCTCTCGTTCTTTGCGATCCAATTCAAACACACTCGTTCGATTTTTTTTAAATTTTTTTTTTATTTTGATACCAGATGTCACTACTCAGTTAATAAATTAAATTTTTAAATTTTTAATACTTAATTTAAATAAAATTGACTTATTTATAATTTCACGGAAAAATTTTCATTAATTTTTTTCGAGTTTATAACACACACGCAAGAGGTCACTGAAAAATTTTTATTAAATTTTATTTTTAATATAAAAACACGCAAGATGTCGCTATTACAAGTTTAACGAAATAAAAATTATTTATACTTTTTAACTTTTTGCAATTTTTATTAATTTTGTTTACGTAAAATTAACTTAATCGTAATTTACGATAATAATTCGTAAAGAAATTTAAAAAATGATTAATAATTTTTTACGAATTTCTAACATATACACAAGAGGTCACTGACAAGAACTACAATTAATGGAAGGTGATTTATTTGTTTATATTAGAAGTAATGTGTTGTTATAGCGGAAGAAAATAGCTAATTTGTTTCTATATATCGATAGAAATTATAAATAAACTGAGTATATTTATTATTAAGTTCTTTTTCTTTCTTTACTTACTCGAATTTAGATAAAGGATTTTTTTATGGGTATTTAATTGTCAATGTTAACACAGACAAAACACTACACTGGTTCAGGTGTTTAGTCTGTGTTTAAACACCTGTCTTCTATTCGTATCAAAATAACTGAATTAATATTAGAATATTTAGTAAAATAATTAATAAGAACTGAATTTAAAGTGATAATTTTTAATTTCTGTGCTCTAAAATTATATTTTTTGTTTTTTTTTTTACAATTTATATTACAGAAAATGAAGGTTGATATGTGTACAGAGACTTACATTTATAGTTTAAAGAGAAAATACTATTCATGTGATATTCGATTATAATGCCTTCTGGCCAAGCAGGAAGAATCTGCTTGGCCAGAAGGCATTACAATTGAATGTCCTAGTGCAAAAAGTGCACAAGTCACACATGACACGTTTAAGGGAAGGGGATTTGAATGTTGGGACGTTATCGTGGCTCTATGCTAAGGGAGTCAAAAATCGTAACGTTCTTCGTTGTCTCCGTACAGAGTAAGTATTTAGCTACAAAATATAACCCAGTATAGTGGTAGATTTTTCTACTTTAATATCAAATAAAAGCTTAATTTATAGATATAATGTAGACTACATTATAGCACTATACTTACATAATTTCAATATTAACCTGTATGTTAACTAAACACGATATTTTAGTAGAAATAATAACTGTTATAATCGACAGAAGTAATCTGTGAAATATGCATGTAATATTTAATCGTTGTTTTTGATCGTAACCGGTAATCTTACCGATACTAATGAATGACAATATTTATTCGTTTTTTTTAATGTTCCTTTTTCAGTTACATTTGTATCGTTTTCTTTATTTCCTTTATTTTCAATTACTTCCGTAGAGTCTGTGGACACTGCCAGTTTCTTTATAGCAAGTAAACGTCATGTGATCTAAAGCCTCCAGTTAATTGGTATGATGACTTGTGCATTTTTTGCATTTAATTTGTNTCGAACATATTTTTAGACCCATCTAAAAATTCTCTAATTAGTCTGGAAACAAGGGGACCCAATTCTTGCATTCTGTGAAAACGGGTAAGGTTGACTGTAACGTAATAATCTTTATCTTAGTTATCGTTACTTTTGCCCGAGCAACGCTGGGCCCACCTGCTAGTATCAAATAAAAGCTTAATTTATTGATATAATGTAGACTACATTACAGCACTATACTTACATAATTTCAATATTAACCTATATGTTAACTAAACACGATATTTCAGTTGAAATAGTAACTGTTATAATCGACAGAAGTAATCTGTGAAATATGCATGTAATATTTAATCGTTCTTTTTGATCGTAACCGGTAATCTTACCGATACTAATGAATGACAATATTTATTCGTTTTTTTTAATGTTCCTTTTTCAGTTACATTTGTATCGTTTTCTTTATTTCCTTTATTTTCAATTACTTCCGTAGAGTCTGTGGACACTGCCAGTTTCTTTATAGCAAGTAAACGTCATGTGATCTAAAGCCTCCAGTTAATTGGTATGATGACTTGTGCATTTTTTGCATTTAATTTGTGTTACAACCAAAAACTAATATACCATCCAAATGGGACTTAAATATCTTTTTCAATTGATCTTTTTTACTTTAAACATGAAGTTTACATGTTTTTGATGTGTCAGTATCAAAAGCATGGTTTTTTAAAAATTGTGATTTATGAACTTTTTGCACTGGGATCTTCAATTTCATTTCTGAATGAGATGGTTGGGATATTATCACAGCTGTAGACCATAGGAGTGTAGAACACACAGGAGCAAAAAAGGTAAAGGAACTGCACCTGTAAATGTGACCCTTCACAAGATACTATCTCTTGAAATCAGCCTATTTTTGGGTCGCATGTGATCAGTTGCGTCACTCCAGAAAGATTGTCACGTTTAACTATTTAGCCCATGCCACTTGGCCAGCTTTGAGTAACCCACTTGTTTGTGGAGTACTTGATGTTATATAGTTTTACAGGGGAGCTAGCTCCCATCCAGGCACCAAAGTTCATGACTATATGCATGACTTTTGCTCATCTTGACTGATGCTCTGCATCAGTCAAGATAAGCAAAAGCCTTGCACCAATGTGGGTATATAATAGGCAATAATACTAGTTTGCAGTAAAAACTGAGCTTTGGAAGTGAATATCTTGCAAAGGGTCATCATGTACAGGTATGGTTCCTTTGACTTTTTTGCTCATACAGGGGGTCTACAATTTTGGAGGTGGAAAAGTTAGTTCAGTTCATATCATAGTTCAGTTAAAGTTCATATCATACACAATGAGATATTGAGATATCTAGTTTAAATCTTCATCCAGAATCCAAGAACTAGGGAAGATTTGGCTTAAATGGGGTAAGGGCAGAAATCTTCTACAAGGGAAAATTTCTGATACTAATGTAGCTATGACAGATCTTTTCAGAGCTGTAGACAATGCCCAAAGGAGTAAAAAAGTCAAAAGGTCCATCTACATGTGATTTTTCAGGAGATATATCCCCAAAATCAGCTTACCTGAAATTCTGAAGACCTCAGAAATGGGGTAAAATTAAAAGTGAAAAATTTGGAATTATTTCTCAAAACAATGCAAAAAAGTCAACTGTGAACAGAATAACACCTGAATAGAAATTTTCAGCAAATATATACACAAATATTTAATGCTTGAACGCTTTTGCCCACTATTTTATCAGCCCTCTTCGGGAACAAATACAACAAAAAACCATTCTTTAAATAGACTATAGCTGCATTCTAATTTTTTAAAAATAACATTTGAAAATTAAATATTTGTGTATATATTTGCTGGAAATTTGTATTCAGATGTTATTCTGTTCATGTATGATTTCAGTTTACTTGTGCAGTTGTTGTTTTAAAGTCAACTGTACTAGAAAAGGCTAGAAACTTATAAAACACAAGACACTTAAAATTAATACATTCAAGTACCACATCAGTGTCTTGTTTCTTTATGTCCTTTCCACATTTCGGAAACATACAGTCCTTACGGCAGAGTCAAATTTTCCTCCATCTCAATATGTAAAAATATATTAATATGTATAACTAAACATTAATTTTAATGAATTGTGCCAAAGCTTTGGGAATATTTTAATACTGTTTTTACATATTGAGGCAGAGAAAATTTGACTATGCCGTAAGGACTGTATGTTCCCGAATTGTGGAAAGGACATTAAGAAAAAAGAAGACACCGATGTGGTACTTCAACATATTAATTTGTAAATATATTCTTTCTCCTGACATTTTTAATTAAATGTATAACTAAACAAGAAACACTACTGCATCAACTATTACGGGGATGTGATCAGTCATGCAATGTGCCCCATTAAACCTATTGCATGTTTAACAAACCTGAAACTTTGAAGGCAAATATCTTGCTAAAGGTTACAATTAGAGAAACGGTTTCTTTGACTTTTTTGGTCATCTAAGAGTGTCCAAAATTTGGAGGTTGCAATCTCTTCTTTCAGAACTGTATTTGTACCAAATTTTTGTTTTGAAAACAGTATACTGTTTACATTGGTTCCCTAAAGGACCTAAACACTACTGCAGATTCTATATAAAAGTTACATGAATAGGTTTAAAAATGTATAAATGAATTTGCTGATGGTTTTTTTAGGATCCTATAAGACAGTTGTAAGTTTTAATATACAATACACATTCAGGACAGAAACTGTAATGTTTATTTGCTAAAGACAAATGACCAAATAATTCATAATTGCATCTATCTCAAAAGAATATAAAAATTGTTTGAACCCTGATTACAGACCTTAAATCTTATTAAGTGAAAAAGAACTGTTACCAGCAAAAAATGTAAAATAAAAGCTGAAATTAAATTAATTAAAAGCCAACACTGCGGTAAAATAAAACACATTTTTAGTTAAATAAAACAGATTATTAGTTAATAGCTATTAGAGTAAGGTGCTGCCTGCTGCTTTGGAGAATTTGGGTCCTGTTTATAGAATTTTTTTATGATTATTTCATTGGATATGTAAGGCTTGTTCCCCATCCTCTATACTTCTGTATGAGCTTAAATTTTTTGTGAGCATATATGTCACATCAACAGCTTAATTATAGATACAGAGAAAGCAGACAAATGTATGGAAAAGCAATAACATGAACAGGGTGTGATATTTGCAGATTGCTTAAAAGCCATTAGAGCTGCCAACTGTCTGCTTTTTTAGCAGACAGTTGGCAGCTCAGATTCTGCTATGATAACCAAATTTATATTATGGATACTATAGAGACTGATATCTAACTATATATATAGTTACATATCAGTCTCTATTCCTATTCATGATTGGTAGTCTCACTACAAGTCAGATCTGCTTATAATGAGTGAATAGTACTGACAAATGCTACAGAAAATACAGAATAATACTGACAAATATTAAAATAATTTAGTCTAATTTTCTGTTGTAATCTGTTGGATTCAACTAGAGCAAAATTAGAATTGTAACAAATAGTAAATTTTGCTCTACTGATTGAAAAATGTACATAGTTACATAGATTAGATATGTATCAGTATAATTCACCTCTTTCCTAACTCAGTACAAACTATTTGGACTTAACTAATTTTTGTTTAGAAATTTATGAAAAATATACAAAAATTAAAACACACAATTGAAATAATTGAAGTATATCTAGATTTTATAATTATTTTATAATAGTACTGAATATAAACTCATTGACAGTAAAGTTACGTACCAAGAAGGAGGCATTGGAATAGAATGAAACTTTATTAGTGTGAGCGTAATGACAATGATAATAAGTGGTTACAATATCACAGCAAAGAGAGAATTTTATGTGAAATAACAATACAATTTAAAGCAATCTTTAGTATTTTGTAGGAC